ACCCATTTGACCCACTTGAATGTATTGAGCTTCATCTCAAAAAAGTGGTGTTGAAGAATTATGACGGCATCAGAGATTCATCTATCAACTTTGCCAAGTTCTTTGTTCTTAATGCAAAAGTGTTGAAGGAAATGAAAATCACATTGCCTTACCACCGCCAGCATGGATGGGTTGCTAATCAATCCAGCCTGCTACGAGTCAGAAATAGAGCTTCTCGAGATGCTCGAATTGAGATGAGATGTGGCACTAAAGATGATTTCACACACAACAAGCATACCCATGACGTGTTAATGGATGACCCCTTTGACTTGCCCTACAGAGGATGCTATACGTGTAAAGAGAAGGGTCTAGGAGATGGTGTATACCAAATTTAATTAGAACTTGGGCTGCCAAGACCATCAATGGGTGGTGCTAGTCAGTAAGCCTCCAATCCTTTCTCGGGTGTAGTTGATGCCCATCTTGAAATTTGACTTGCCTTCTTTTGAAACCCAAGCTTATATTTCTAGCCTATATGTTTTCCCAGCCTTCTGATGTTGTAAGAAAGGATGCGGATCTATTTGACGTATCAATGGAATGCTTTGTAGCCTACTCGGGATTGTACCAGGACAAAGGGGGTGGTGTCTAAGCTCAGGCTTCAAATCCAAACTCGCGTAATGTATTTTATGTTCTATTGTTGTTTGGCCTTTTATTGTAAGCTGGTTGGACCAGCAGTTACTATATTTATGTATGGTACAACTTGCTTTAGTTAAAAAGGATGGCCTCCATGCCTTTTGTTTCAAGTTCTTCCTTTGCGATTCATGAATGCATACAAATGGAATGTTTGCAACCTTGTTTCTGCTAGTTTCAGCGAATACTGCATCTTTGGTTCATAGAAGTTGTTCTTTACACGCAATTGTTATTTGTTATCTTACATTTATTATAACTTACTTCATTCTTTCAAATAATAGCGTGTGGGATTGAATGCTGATTCTTTTTTGGTATACCTTTGATGAATATTTTGCTGACCTTGTTCCCACATGAACTGTGAAAGTTGGGAAGAAGTGCTACTCGGTTTATCAAATCATTATTTCTCTACTATCCTGTGATGTTGTGTATGCATCAGCAGCATGTTGATATAAAGAACTGGAGTTGATATAAATAGAACTGTAGAAGCTGAATGTGGCAAGATTTTTGTGCTCAGTGGATTTGAGTTCTGAAAATTCTGACACAATTTTGTGGATGTAGCAATTTCACCCAAGTTATATACGTTTGTCTTATATTTAGTTTACAGAGGGAGTAGAACAGAAAAATAGCAACCCACTGTATATTGTACCATCAAATACGTATTAAGTATGCCATTTTGCCATTATTTCAACAAAGTGCCTGAGAGTAATTCCTTTTGCATGCCTTTAATTGTTACCATGGATCAATTGGCTTAATTTCTGATGAAATCCAGTCATTTGACACCACAGCATCAAAGGATTGCACGAGCGTTTCAAGATGGAGAATCGATATTATGTCCACATGGCCTCTTCCAATTGGTTGCGCCCCTCTCTGGTGGCTGCACTTTACACGTAAGCACAGCAAGCAGAGGTGGCATGCTAAGACACAATCACAGAAACGAATTGTCCAATCAGAGGATAACAAGAGATAGGCCCATCCATCCAACAAAGGCGTCACTGCCAGCAAGGCCCGTCAGTCTCCTGCACTATTTAAACTCCAATGCAGCTCTCTGCTTTCCACACAACACAGCTTAGAAGCACAAGACAAGCAACCAAATCTTCTTCAGGGTTCTCTGCAACTGCAATGGCGTCATCCACCATGGCACTCTCCTCCCCGGCCCTTGCCGCGAAGCAGGCCAAGATTGCCTCCTCCAATGTGTTTGGCGAGGGCCGCATCACGATGCGCAAGACGGCGGCCAAGGCCAAGCCCGCCGCTTCCAGCAGCCCGTGGTACGGCCCGGATCGTGTCCTCTATCTCGGCCCGCTGTCCGGTGATGCGCCGTCCTACCTCACCGGCGAGTTCCCCGGGGACTACGGCTGGGACACTGCTGGGCTCTCCGCTGACCCCGAGACGTTCGCGAAGAACAGGGAGCTTGAGGTGATCCACTGCCGGTGGGCCATGCTTGGCGCTCTTGGCTGCGTCTTCCCGGAGCTCCTCGCTCGCAACGGCGTCAAGTTCGGTGAGGCCGTGTGGTTCAAAGCTGGTTCTCAGATCTTCAGCGAGGGTGGGTTGGACTACCTCGGCAACCCCAGCCTCGTCCACGCGCAGAGCATCCTCGCCATCTGGGCCTGCCAGGTCGTGCTCATGGGCGCCGTCGAGGGGTACCGCGTTGCCGGTGGCCCGCTCGGTGAGATCGTCGATCCCCTCTACCCCGGCGGTAGCTTCGACCCCCTTGGGTTGGCTGATGACCCTGAGGCATTTGCGGAGCTCAAGGTGAAGGAGATCAAGAATGGACGGCTCGCCATGTTCTCCATGTTTGGCTTCTTCGTCCAGGCCATCATCACCGGCAAGGGTCCCCTTGAGAACCTTGCCGACCACCTCGCCGATCCCGTCAACAACAACGCCTGGGCATTCGCCACCAACTTCGTCCCCGGCAAGTGAATATGAGGCGATGCCCTGTGGGACTTGGGATGCATGGAACAAACATGGGTTGTGTGAAACAAAACAACCGCTACCGCGGCTTGTTTTTTCACCTGTATGATTATTCGTCCGATGAGGACATGTAACAGTATTTGATTGGTTTATCAAACAAGAATGATGGTAAACTTCCAAAAGAAAAAAACTTGCAAGATGACTGTCTGGAAGATTACTGAAATTCTCTGAAACAAATGCACAGTAGGGGAGTTCAGGGTTGCAAGAGCAGCCAAGGACTACGAAAGAAGAAGAAGAAGAAGAAGAAAGAAAACAAACGAGCGTGCTATTTCAATGGAAAATCAAGTAGCTGTACAACTTTAAGGCCACAAGTGAGCTCATGGTTTAAGTCATTACAAGTGACACGTACTCCCTCCGTCTCAAAATGTAAGACCATTTTTGACACTTGTGGTCTTACATTTTGGTACGGAGGGAGTACTTCACAAGGAGTAGGCAGACCTGATTACGTGGTAGTGGATTTGAACCCAGAAGCACGAGCTGTCCTCTTATCTCAGCTGTTTTGTACAGTATATTGCATACCTGATAAGATGATTTTTATCCTCCTGAGAACTAGCCTTTTAATGCAGCAAACATGTCTCAGAAAACTTCAGTTATGCATATCAATACTTTTGAAATACAATGACCTGCACAAACACTTCATCTGACGGAAGTACTGAGAACAATAAAAAGCTTTGCTCAATTGCATCATGTCCTCAAAAAATTATTCTTGTTAAAAATGTTAAATAAATCAAGCTATCAAGGTGCTTCTCCTTCCTTGCATCTAGCATGTTCTTCCTCCCGTTCTATCTGGAATAATTTCTACTGTCCCTGCTATTCAGACATTGTATCACTTGGCGTGCCTAGGCGTTTCTTTTTGGTTCCTTCTTCTTATTTTCAAACTATATAAGATCTCAGAAAATTTAAGCGACAGCCACTAGTTTCAAAGTCAATGCAGATTCTTCCCTCCTTTTCATTGATCACACATATGCCACCATTTCATTAGTCTCATTTACACATTTGCCATCCCATGCCGTTACAATAATTGTTTTGATAATGTAATAAAAGTGGGAAAAAATATCATCGCATGTACATATGGGAATGTGGACCTGCCTATTTTTCATGAGTAGTGATGAAATTTGAGGGGCTAAAAATCATCTCTTCAATTGTTACTTTCCTGTGAAGCCCTGTCTCTCAGGCAATTACTACCATAATTCAAAAGCATTCTGTGATACCATAGGCATACCCGCCCCGGCTATCTCAGGTGACCATCAGCATGGTTGTGTTTACAATATCTGGAGAGTGATCTTGGAGGCTGTATTCTAGCACCAGCCTGAACTTCCTGATGACACAAGCCCATGCTGATCTCAGGCAGTTCAGCAAGAAAAAAAAATCAAACTCACTTTTCTTTGTGGTAGTGATGACTGTTGGGGGAATTGAAGGCAGTTTTTAGAGTGCAATGATTAGGTTACAGCAAACAGTTTCAAACATTTGTACATAAATCCACAACAGTTTCATGCCATTTGACAACCCATATCCTCGGATGTTCGCAGAAACGCTGTCTGAATTAGATCAATTCAAATGGAGCAAAGCAGGGAGGTCAGATGATCCCAACCATGCAATGAACCAGATCAACTTCGAAGACATGCTAACTAAATGAAAATACACCTACATTACTTCCTAACGATACACTCACAAACATACTGGGCCACTACCATCAGCGCCTTTGCATTGCACCCCTAATACAGAAAACATCTACCATTAGTACCACCAAATCACCAGTCTTTGCTCCCTATGATGCAGAAAACATCTTCCATTAGTATCACCAAGGCCTTCTCCCCCCGATACGCCTCGCGAGCTGTATGTCCTTTTGCACTGCAGGGGCAAAAAAAGGTCAGGTGAACAGAAACATGCTAATGTATACATGTATTTTCTGCATACATAGTTCCAATTTGTTCAGGAGCATCCTTTTAAAGATACATATGAAGTCATACCTAACTGAAAATATTTATTTGTTATTAGAATAGAAACAGCAACCTTGATGATAATAATTCTAGTGACACTTATCTGTCTCGGTAAAACAGTACCCAAGCTTTAAGAGGAAATAAAACATATCTTGGAAATAAAGTTCTGATTTCATGCTATGTTTATATCCTCGAGGTAAGTAACAAACAGGGTAATCAACCCTGAATTTCCTGCTACAGTAACCAGATTTTATATCTAAAATGCATCATTAGAAAACTCTGGCCCATTCACAAGTGGCAAGCTATAATTGTTTTCCCGCAAAAAAAGCCATAATTGTTAGCATATCTGCTGTTTTGTTTTGTGACATGTTCACCGAGAACAAAAAATACGAGAAGCTGCTGAGATATGATAACTGTGGATCTTCTAATCATTAATAATCATTGAATTTTTGCAGCTTGAAACAACATCGAAACTAGATAACACATCAAATAAAAGCAAAGATGATCCTGAAATTGAAATGCTTTTATGACTGCCATGTTTCCTTTTGCATAATATTGTAAAGGAAAGGAAGTGTTCATTCAGTGATAACTTACTGATGGTAACACGCTTAGCATGGATGGCACATAGATTTGCCTTTTCAAATACATCGACTATGTGATACTCTGCAGCCTGCAGAGGGAAAGGAAAAGAAAATCATGTGCAAACTCAAAGCAAATATACAGGACAGTGACTGAAAGCACAATTAGGACATTCAACTTATTTGATAGGCCACATATGGAATGTAGTCAACTCTATGTTAATTTTGCTAGTTATGCAGAAGAAATTATTTCTGGCAAGAGGCGACTTGTGTTAGTGTACTTACCATGCACTAGCAATCTTGTATAGTTCTATAAAAGCACTTGTGTCGTTGTACTGGATAGTGGATACAGATAAATCCTTGGGCGTTCAGATACATAACCATCACATGATAAAATTCAAAAAAAAAATTTGGACTACCTCTTCCTCACTTCTCAGTCACACCCTTAAGCAAAATGTAATATGAACAATAGTTCAGTTTTGCGTGCGTGGCATGATTATGTTGCAAGACACAGTGACAGTGTATATCTTAGACCAAACAACGAGAAGCTATGAACTATGGCACAAAGACATTTGATTTTGGTTTTGAGTTACCAGCCACCAAAGAACAATCATGGTGCTAAACAGATGTATCAACTGCATGAACACCGGAGCATTCAGATTCAGGAACTATGCATTATGGTGATAAATTTATCAGTCTCACAATTCTCAGAACTATTGCAGTTGCTGGTTTCTTTAATGGGAACCATCAGGCCTAATAGTACACGGCAGGTTTCGGCATTGACCATTGACCGACCTCCTGCAACGAGAAGAGCGCCTGAGGAGTCCAGTGGTTCATCTCGCCCTTCGTCAAGTCGTCGGTGATCTCCTTAACCTGCAAATTTACCATCAGCACAGGACGAGCACCTGTCTCCGCATACTGAATCTCGAATCGGTGATACAGGTACAAATCGGAGGACGGGACGGGCAGAGGGGGGCACGGGTACGGGGTACCCAACCCACACTCACCAGGCGGACGAAGGGCGCGAAGGGGATGAGCGGCCCGGTGGACTTCTGGTACTTCCTGACCTCCCGCAGCGCTACCGTGCCCGGCCGGAACCGGTACGCCCGCTTCTTCTTCTTCTCCGGCTGCGGCTCCGGCGGTACCTGGCGCAGCGCCGGCGGCGGCCTCCAGCGCGGGGAGAGCTCGAAGCGGAGCCGCTTCTTCGTCTCCGTCGTCGCCGCCGTCGCCGCCACCGCGTGCTTCGTGCGACCCATCGCCGCGGGGAAAGTGTGGGTGAGTTGGGTGGTGTGCACTGAGCAGTAGTACCACTGCTTGTGCTACTGAGCAGGAGTATTACAGTAACTTTATCACGGGAGTGTAGCGCGCCTAGGAAACTGAACTGGCTCGAGGCCAAGGGGACTCGCAACCGTCACCGTCCAATGCGTGGCATAAATGTAAAATGAGTCGTTCTAGAGGGGGAAAATGTGCATGGTAGTATGGCATAAGGCTAGTCATAGTAGCAGACCGGGCTGGAGAGTGGGTCCACCACGAAAAGGAAACGCTAAGGCGGTAGGGGGCGATCGCGAGGCGATTGCGCTCCTACGCTAGGGTTAGGGTTTCGCTGCTCGGGGGTGGTGTGCATCTGGCAGCGGAGAGGGAGGCGACGGCGCATCCCTAGACGCGGGCCAAGAACGGATTCTCCCTGTTGTGGGCTGCTGCTCATGGCTGGGACTGCGGATGATAAGGCGACGGCGGCGGGGAAGAAGAATAACTCGAATACATCTAAGGCGGCGGCAGCCACTCCAGCGACTGGGAGGTCAAAGACGGCTACACCAATGAAGACGGCGGCGGCAACGCCGACGGCGCACAAGGGGGATGGCCTAAATAACAGAGAAGAATCAAAATCCCCGTTGGAGTGCAAGACCCCGGATCCGACGTCGAGCTTGTCTGCAAGATTGGGAGGCATGGTTCTTATGGATAAAGAAGCTGAGGGTTTCATCTTTGAAGATCAGGAGACAGAGATGCCTAAGAGTTCGAGATGGTCTGCGGTGGGGAAGGCTTGTACCACTCGTCCGATGAACAAGACAGCACTAGAAAAAGCTATGACTCGGGCGTGGGGGCTGCATAAAGAAGCTCAGTTCAGGGACAGGGGCTCAAATATTTTTGTGGTACACTTTGGAAGTGAGGGAGACTACAGACATGTTATGAACAATGGGCCTTGGCAGTTTGATTTTAGTGTTCTGATCATGACGGAATATGAAGGAAAAACGAGACTCTCGGAGATGGTGTTTGACAGAGTCGATATGTGGGTTAGGGTGACGGATCTTCCACCGGATAAGAGGACAGAGGTGTTTGGGAAAGCTTTGGGCAATTGGTTGGGAGAAGTCGTGAGAGTTGATGTGGACAAGGATGGAGTTGCAAGGGGAAACCAGTTACGAGTTCGAGAAAAAATTGATGTTTATGAACCGCTAGTCCGAGGCTTTACTTTGAAGAGATCTAAAGATGATAAGGTGGGCACATGGTTTGACTTCTACTATGAGAAAGTCCCCCACTTCTGCTTCGATTGTGGGCGACTAGTGCACAAGGGGGGTGTTTGCGAGCCCCCTGTTGACTCCTCGCTCAAATGGGGAGGATGGCTGCGGGCATCCCCCAGAAGAAATACAGGAAAGGAGGGATCTAAGGGAGGGGTAGCAAGTAGCAGCAACAGCTGGAATAGCTCACAGAATGACGGTACAAGACCAAGGCATCGAGATGAGCAAAGTCGCGTGAGGGATATTCCAACCAAGAGAAATCTAAACACTGAATTCTCTCAATCAGCTAAAAACCGCACTGGCGGACAGAGTAAGCCGAGAGATGCAGAGGTGAATAGCCCTAGACGCGATAAAACGAGGAGTGGTGCTGGACGTGAGCAGGATCTGAGGGACAGTCTTGGAGATGAAAAGAGAACAGAATCTGAGGGACAAGCTGATTGATAGAAATCGAGGAAGGGAGAGAGAGTCTGAACGTGGAGCTTCCTGGGAGATGAAGGGAAAAGGATCTGCTGATGTGAAGAATGGGGGGCGCCATGAAGGTGGGTATATGAGGGTAGAGCAGCATGGGAGGTCAGAAGGTTATGGACAACAGGAAAGAAGGAGGGGCTACTACGTGCATAAACCAAGGAAAAGCTCGGCTTATGAGTATAGGGAGATCCAGAGAGAGCAAGAAGTGCATGAAAGCAGGAAGCGAGGGCCGAGACATATGTGGGTAGCCAAGGGGGAGTCGGACAGGCCAGCAGGACAAGATGTTTTCATTCGCGATATACGGCGTAAAACGTCGACAGTGTTTGACCGCATCTCAGTTAACAGCGATAGATCGGCGGACCCCGAGGATCGAGGCCGCCGGGAGCAATGAATGTTTTAGCCTGGAACTGTCGAGGACTGGGGTTGGACTCGACAGTGGGCGAACTGAGAGACCTGATTCGGTCCCACAACCCAGCGGTGGTCTTTTTATCTGAAACAAAGAAGAAATCGAGGGCTATGGAGAAACTAAGATGGAGTCTGGGGTTTTCTTGTGGTGTGGCGGTGGACTGTCAAGGACAAAGTGGTGGGCTAGCGATGTGGTGGAGAGAGCATTTAAAGGTTATTGTGAGGCCATGGAGCCAGTACTTTGTGGATGTGGAAGTGGTCTGGGAAGGAAAAACCTGTAGAATCACTGGATTCTACGGTGAACCGGACGTGGAGCATAGAAAAAAATCTTGGGATGCAATCCGATACCTAAAACGACAGGATGCACTTCCATGGTTGTGTGTCGGAGATTTCAATGAAGCGCTATTACAAACCAAACAGAAGGGGGGAAACCAACGAAGCTTTCTGCAGATGGAAGGTTTTCGCGACTGTCTGGCCGACTGCGGCCTTGCAGACTTGGGTTTTTCAGGCTATCCCTACACGTGGGATAACAAAAGACAAGGTGATGAAAATATTCAGGTCCGTCTCGACCGGGGAACATGCAATGATGATTTTCTAGCACTATTCCCGCACACTCACGTCCAACACATAATTACCGAGGAGTCGGACCATGTCGCTTTGGTGGTTCACATTCTGGAGACGGCTCCAGAACAGGGACACCATGGTGCACGACAGTTTAGATTTGAGGAGGCATGGTTAAGGCTTGAAAGCTATGATTCCATGGTAGCCGAGAAGTGGTTGGAAGCGGACGATGGAGAAACGGGGCTGTCGGCCACCTGCGGCAGGCTAGGAAAGCTTACGGCGAGCATGCAAGAGTGGGGGCGTGTGGTGTTTGGCTCCATCCGCCAGCAAATCAAGCAGCTAAAGGTACAACTAGAAGATGCAAGATTCAGAGCGTTACGAACTGGGTATACTACGGAGGTGAGGGACATAGAAGAACAACTTCGGGAAGTTTACGCTCGTGAAGAAATAATGCAGCGACAAAGATCCAGGGTTGACTGGTTAGCTGCAGGGGACATGAATACAAAATACTTCCAAGGAAGAGCATCACATAGGAAGCGAAAAAACACGGTAAGGGCACTGATACGGGAGGATGGTTCGAAGTGCATGGCAGATGAGGAAATGCGCGAGATGGCGGCAAAGTTCTATGAAAATTTGTTCACCTCAGAGGGGTCGGTAGGAGTGCAGGAACTGCTTGATAATATACCAGCTGCTGTTACAAATGATATGAACCAGAAACTAGTGGCACCGATTGCAGACGAGGAGATAGAGAAAGCTTTGTTCCAGATGGGGCCTATGAAAGCTCCAGGTCCCGATGGCCTCCCTGCCCTATTTTATCAGCGACACTGGTCGCTTGTAAAAACGGAGGTTTGCACGGTGGTCCGGGAGTTTCTTGCAGGACGGGCAGCACCAGACGCGTTTAATGCAACTGTCATCATTATGATCCCGAAAGTTAACTCACTGGAGTTACTTTCACAATTTCGCTCAATTAGCCTGTGTAATGTTTTATACAAAATTGCAGCGAAGGTGTTGGCGAATAGACTAAAGGTTATTCTACCGATACTTATTTCTGAGGAACAAAGCGCTTTCGTGCCAGGGCGGCTAATTACTGATAATGTATTTGTGGCTTATGAGTGTGTGCACGCAATCAGGAAAAGGAAAAGGAAGAAACCCTTATGTGCGGTAAAGCTGGATATGATGAAGGCGTATGATAGGGTGGAGTGGAGTTTTTTGGAGCAAATGTTGGGACGATTTGGTTTTGATACAGCTTGGATCAGCATGGTCATGAGGTGCGTGACGTCAGCAAGTTTTATGGTGAAGTTAAACGGGGGGTTGTCCAGGTGGTTCACTCCCTCTCGTGGGCTAAGGCAAGGAGATCCATTGTCGCCGTACTTATTCCTTTTCTGCGTGGAAGGCTTCTCTGCACTCTTGAAGAAGGCCGAAGATGACAAGCTTATTAAAGGTGTGTCATTTGGAGGCACTGGCCCGCAAGTGACACATCTCCTGTTTGCAGATGATAGCATTGTCTTTCTTCAGGGTTCTGTTGATAACTTTCAGGCATTGAAGAATATCCTAGGTAGATACGAGGAAGCGTCGGGGCAAAAGGTTAACCTTCAGAAATCGTCAATACTCTTTGGTAAGGGATGCTAACAGGAGTTGAAGAATTCTCTCAAAGAAACTGTTGGTATTGAATCTGAGGCGTTAAGTGAGAGGTATTTGGGCCTCCCGACAGTGGTTGGTAGGGCAAAAGATGGAACGTTCAAATATGTGGTAGAGAGTTCGAAGAAAAAAGTTACTGGATGGAAGGGCCAAGGGCTGTCAAAGAAAGCACGGGAAGTTCTAGTGAAATCCGGGCTGCAAGCAACTCCAGCATTTACCATGAGCTGTTTTCACCTCACAAAGAAGATGTGCCGGAACTTGACATCTATCTCCTCAAAATTCTGGTGGGGGGCGGTAAATGGTGAACGCAAAGTGCATTGGATAGCCTGGGACAAAATGTGTGCAGCGAAGCGTGATGGTGGCATGGGATTCAGAGATCCCGAGGCTTTCAACCAAGCATTATTGGCCAAACAAGCATGGCGACTGTTGAGAGTCCCCTCTTCGCTATGTGCTCGCGTCCTAAAAGCTAGATATTATAGTGAAGGGGGAATCATGAAGGCAACATGTCCAGATGGTGGCTCATACACGTTCAGGAGTATTCTTCATGGGAGAGATCTCCTCAGAGCCGGCTTGGTGTGGCGAGTTGGAGACGGCTCCACCATTAATATACACCATGATCAATGGATTCCGAGGGGTGGCAGCTTGACACCACTGGGTGCCGAGTATGTCCC